TCCACAGTCTACCGCATCCTGTAGTCCGGGCGTCAGGGAACTTTGTACTGAGCGATTAGACTGGCAGAACGCCAGCCTGGATGTACGGCATTGGGTCTGTTTATACCTCCATGTCACGTTTCGCTGCTAGGCAATTTTAGTAAAATTGCTATGATTTCTGGCACACTGACCTAGATTAGGCATGTCCTTCCCTAACTTGTGTCTATCTGATTGCTTTGACTGGCCGATTCACTAAACAGCCCGCCGCTCTGTCCATTCTCGATATCGCCGTTGAAACCATTGCCGAAGCCTTTCGGGTGCATTGGGTACTCACCTTTGAAGTTTTTGTGACCGTTACAAATGACCTCGGTTCACAATTCAATTACTCGCTGATCCAAAACATAACATTCGTCTCGGCACCAACCAGACTGGAACGATGGCATACAATCTCTAGGTAAGTCACCTCCAATTGCTTCGGCCTTCCATGTGCGGACTCACGCCAATTTTTGCTGACTAAGCATGACGTATCCGTCGGACATTTTAAGCCACCCCCACACTATGCTGAACAAAGTTCTTCGCATTCCCAACATGGATTTTTTCATTGATTTAAATAGCAATACTGGCACTAAGCATTTATTGTGCCAAGCCGGCGATGCCCAGGATCTTTAGACATACCTCATCATGGCACAGTGATCGGCCCCAAGAGGGGAGGCTTTCAACAGCTGCCGACGCCAGGCTACCTCTAATTCGTCGCATATGACGTTGGCACGTGCCCTGAGCCGGCCAATTCGCAGACGATCAGAGTATCAACACCACCACCACCACTACGTTTGGTGTGTGCGGTTGCTGCAGGAACAATTTTAGTAACACTTAGGGACGTTGGGCTGAGAGCTGAAGAGCCGCACAACCGGCCGAGCCTACCTGTTGGCCTGCCACCAACGCTACACCTTGGGTGTTGCGCTGAGTCAGGACAACGTTAAAAATCGGGCGCCTTCTTATATGAGCCGACCGGCAACGACTGTCACGCTGGGCGTCTCGTGATAACAGGTCCAAGATCTGGGCCCACGGACCAACCAATTACAGATTACAACATATCATCGACTCACCCAACCAACTTCTCCAGCTCACATGAATATGCCCGGCATGCACACAAATAATACAATCCGCAGAATCTGACGGGTGCCGTTTGCTCCCACCTAATAGCAAGTTAATTACTTCAGGCAGACTGTCAGTGTAAAGAATGCATGTTCTAACTTCCACAGCTCTGACTTCAGATACCAAGTAGGATGGAATTCATTGTGACTGGTTTTAGCTGATTAGACAAGCCTAACTCCAACACTGGTACAACAGTCACTGGCGGTCGAGCGTTCCTCATTCAGCAAAAGAGTAATACGAAAAGTGGCCTTAAGCAATCGGTGACAGAATCGAAAACCTACTGATGTTGAACAAGCACGAAAGTCAAAATAAATGTAAGGTGGATGAAAAAGACAAACAGAGAAGACGGTGTATCGCTGAACAAGCAATATAAGGCTGATGAAGAAACGCGTAACAAAAAATTTCGCTGAAAAAAACAAGCCTCTTTTTTACAGTTGTCCTTAAGACGGTGAATGTAACCTACATCCTGCGGAATAAGCAGCTCGTGCTCCAGTATTTCTATAAGCATATTTTCGACGGTCCTTCATCCAGTCATCAACAAATAGGCAACGGGAATGTAAACTAGTCAAATAGTGAGAACACGTATAATGCAAAGTTGGACAAGATGGAAAAACATATGAAAACGCAAAGTATAAATACCTCAGTGCAGAAGCGTCACGACCCATGCTGAGGTCGATTTGCAGGCGCTCACCCTTGCGAAAGATATTATTGAGCGAGTAGTATCCACCAAGCCGCATAGCCCCATCCGTGTTTACCGTCCATTGAGCCTTGAGTGTTTGGGGTTTCCTTTCTTGCACAATGAAGGATACCTACAGCGGAAGAATGTTGGAGCATAAAACGGATTTTGATTAATATAGAAATGGTGACGAAAAATTGGATAATAGGTTCTGAAGATAGTTTCTGCGACTTGGGCTCCAGAATGACTAATTTACGGGATCTAGGCTAATATTCTTCTATCGATATATTTCTGCTTTAAGAAAGTCAGTGGACGGACCCGTTTCGGTTATATCCGTTGCACTGCCATGGCAGGAGTCCGCATTCAGACGACCTGACAGACGCAGCGGATTTGTTCTGCATGCTCAAACAGTACATACACTGAACAGACCGAAACATTTCCGACGTTGATACATGATAAGAGCTACCTCAAGAGTTAAAACGGTCAACCAATTTTTGATAATTGGGAATCCAAACAAATAACTGATGAGCTTACTGCCGACTGAGTGAAATACTACAAATAAGGGAGGTGACGTCCGCACTATAAAAAGACAGTCTGGCGTCAGAGGATTCTGGAGGGGAAAAGGCGCAAGGCCGTCGGGTGAACAACAAACCAAAAGGGCAGTCAAGTTTAGTCATAAAAAATATGTTCGGATTATAAGTAAAAAAATGAATTCCAGTGCTAATAAAGGGAATAAGAACGGAATTCGGAAGGCGGTTTAAGTACCTTGTAGGCATCATCGATTGAGGACTTTGAATCAACATCAACAGCCAATTGTACAGAGTGAAAAATGTTTAAGCCCATGAGCATCTGTTTCAGCTCACTGCAGTTCCTTAAAAGTTCCCGCAAGTTTTCCGATTTAACCAGGCGTGGTAGCTGGTTGATTTATGAAACAGAATTTTTAGTTCTTACCTGCCTCTTAAGGAATTCAGGGTCAGTTTTTCGCAAACCAAGAAAGGAAATACCAGTGACGAACACTGGAACTTCACCAGGGGCCCAATATCCATCCGAATTCATCTCTTAAAGGAACAAGCCCCAACGAGTGACTCCTGGGCAATTCGTGAACACGTAAAATCGCCGTTGGCTCAGTCTAGTAAAATAAAGCAGGTGGAGTAAGAGTATTTGTTATCTTTATTCGGTTGTTTGGATGTTTTGTAACCGGTTATGAAAGCGTACTCTACGAGTAAAAGTTAAAACCAATCATTAGGGAGCGCTTCACATACAAAAGGGGTAGAACCCCGGGGTAGTGATGACAAGAAAGCGGCGCGACATAAATAGAAGGTAGAATCGCTCACCAAAAAGGCAGAGATAAACCAAGAAAAGTTTAACCAAACAGGGAGAGCCGTTAAGAGGCCCGAAAGGCAGGTGAATGCCCTAATGCATTAACACACATACTTCGTCCCGAGTACTTAGTAAAAAGTTGACAACTCTCTCATACCGAGCAAAAAACAAAAGACCAAGCACTTCCCTTCCAACTTTTGATTTGATGCGACCTTACATTCGCCGAGCATCGATAAAAGTGAACGAAAGCTGCAAATAATCTCCAGTGAAGCACAAGAATATGCCCTTTTTAGAGATACATATGTATTCCCAAAAAAATTTCAGAGCTGAAGTGGGTACATTCGTCACCTTGCAATCGAGGAAATTTTGACTTCATTGCACCGGAGCACAATGAGACCAGCGCTATCCTCTACTTGTGGCCATCGCAAGTCGACCATCTCGGGACACGAAATACTTCCGTATTAAGAGACTCGCCGAACAGAGCGCAATGCCCAACAATTCCTAAAGCCTTCTACGCTGTGTTGTAAGGCGGCCAAGGCTGCAACTACAGTGCTATATACCATCATCATCGGGCATTCGCAGTTTTTGATGAATACTGCTTCTCCAAAGTCTTCGGCAGGTTTTTAAGGCCGCATTTCGAATATGCAATTTGAGCCTGGAGGCCATGGACGCATCTGGATTACAATCTGCTCGAAAAGATGCACAGGCGAGCAACAAAACTAATAAGAGACGCATAAAAGACTCTTGATTAAATTGGAAGCTATGGGAATTCGCAGTCCACTAATAGACTTTCTCAGGTCATACCTGTCTAATCGTAAACAAAAGGTTTTGGTGGGATCTTCACTTTCCAGTGAAAGTCCTATTGTGAGCGGTGTCCTACAAGGTACCGTTTTAGGTCCTCTTTTGTTCTTGCTTTACATAAATGATATTTCAGCAGCAGTTAAAAATTCTAAATCTTTTATTTATGCCGATGATCTCAAATGTGTATATTCTTTCAAAAACTCTACGAGCCTTCATTGCCTGGAGCAAATCCATGCTGACTTGCTTGCTCTCTCAGCTCGGAGCTCAAATGGCTAATGGAATTCTCTCCGTCTAAATGTCGTTATATGTGTTTTGGACCTGATAGGCTACCCCAACCAGTGGTCTTTCAAGGCACACCTATGACTGAATGTACCACCATCAAGGATTTAGGTTTAAGCTACACTAGTAATCTTGATCTCTCGCCGCACGCTGACAGAATTACAGCCAAAGCTGCCCAGATTTGTGGCTTTATTTCTTACAATTACTATCTTCCTGAAACTAAATTAAGGCTCTATCGTATGTTTGTACTTCCCATTCTCGAGTATTGTTGCCCATTCTTGGTTTTGATAAATGAAGCCAGTCGTTTAAAAATTAAAAATGTCCAAAGACGTTTTTCTAAAAAACGTTTAGATAGGGAACATCCCAATATCTCCTACTCAGATAGATGCCAGCTAATTGTTATGACCCGCCTGGTACGTGAAATCCTGTGGAGCGTATGCGCACTCGACCCTTGTCCCCAATACCAACGCGGCAGAGAAGGAGAACGCGACCGGCCACGAAACTGTGTATTAGGAAAATGCAAGTCGAAATGAACTGGAAGTAACGCGTATTTATAACGCCTTACGGTGCTTCGCCGGCGTTCGGCCCAATGCCCTTCAGGAAGAACATTCGAGACGAGCCGGTCGATAATTCGAATATGCAGATCGATCAGGCCCGCGAGGAAAAGCCAATAGAGAGGCGCCACGAGTAAGATGACAGCGCAGTAGAGAAAACGCACGTGGCCTCGCGTGATTGGCTGGCTCTTGTTCTTGGGATTGTAGGCGCTCCCAACACCTCCCCTCCAAGTAGGTCAGTACCGCTTCTGGCGTGGGTTGACCTGCATCAGATGTGTTGATCGGCGCACGCGGTTGGTCCGGCGTCTTATTCGTGGTTTAATGCCTGAAGATACGGGAGCGGTAACTGATACCGAAGATAGTATATCCGAAGGGGGCGCAGAAGTGGGTTCGGGAACCGACTGATCTGCCGGAATGGCGAAGGTATTCAGTAGGATGTCGAGAGAGAGTGACGGCGCCGAATCGAGCCCAGTTGTGTTACTGCAATGTCGCCGTCGGATCTGGTTGTGGTGGCGAACCCAGATGTCATCACCAACGTCGACGTCAAACAACATACTGCCTCTGTGCGATACTACGGTTGCTTCAATCCAGTCTGGGCACCCCGCTCGATAATCCCGAACGAAGACAGGGGTTCTGATGGAGAGCTTGCTGCGAGAAACTGGAGAAGTCTGCGCGGGCTGCGCACCGGTAGGGACGAGGGCATGAAACGTTGGACGCAGTTTTCGGCCCATCAACGCTTCGGCAGGAGAAACGCCACCAGGGGACGCCGGGTTCGGTGTCGTCCTGTAGGAAAACAGGAACGCCTGGACTATCTCGTCCATGGTCCCCTCCCCACGAGCTTTCAAGAGGGCTCTCATAAACGTGTCGACCAAACGCTCCGCCTGACCGTTAGACTTAGGATGGTAGGGCGGGGAGCGAAGATGCTGGATGTTGTGCTGGCGGCAGAAATCCTCAAACGACGACGAAGTAAACTGAGAGCCATTATCTGAAACCAGGACTTCTGGTAAGCCATGTTGGCTAAAGATGCGTCGTAGGAAGGCGATAGTGGAAGATGCGGTTGCTGGATTCAGCGGAGCAATCTCGGGCCATTTCGAGTAGGCGTCAACCAAGATTAGGTAGGAGACTCCGTTAAGTGGGCCAGCGAAGTCGATATGCACGCGTGACCAAGGCCTCTCCGGTGGTTGCCAGGGTATTGGAGGTTGACGAGGCGGCATCTTGGCAGCTTGCTGACATCTAGAACAGCGTCGAACCAGGTCGTCGATGTCGCCGTCGATACCCGGCCAGTAGGCAAAACTGCGAGCAATAGACTTCATTCGGCTGGCACCAGGATGAGCCGCATGGAACTGGCGTAGTACAGTGGGTCGGAGGAAAGATGGGATCACCACACGGTCTGCAAACATGAGGCAGGAGTCAACCACAGATAGCGACGCCCGGCGGAGGAAGATCTGGCGAAGATCGCCAGCGAGAACAGTGGTTGGCCAGCAGGTCTGCACGTAGGTGATGGCCTGGCGGAGGACAGGATCCTGTTCAGTAGCACGTAGGATGTCCGCGGCAGTGACACGGATACCTCGCATGGCGTCTGATAGCTGACGGCGCACACCGTCCTCAATCGAAATAGCTGCAATCACAGTATCTTCCTCCGGTTCCTGCTGATTGCTGATGAGGCGAGAAAGGGCGTCAGCCTGACCAAAGTCTGTAGTACGACAGTAGCGAATGTCGAAGTCGTAGCCAAGAAGGATGGTTGCCCATCGCTGAAGTCGGCTGGCTGAGTAGACGGGAATGCCCTTCTTCGAACCGAAGATTGGCAGCAATGGTTTGTGATCCGTCAACAACGTGAAGTGGCGACCGTAGAACAGTTTGTGAAATTTCTTGACGGCAAACACGAGGGCTAGAGCTTCTTTATCTATTTGCCCATAGTTCTTCTCCGCTGGGGTTAGCGTGCGAGATGCATGCATGATCGCCTTTTCAGACCCATCAGGAAAAGTATGTGAGATGACGGCACCAACTCCGTGGTTGAAGGCATCTGCAGCAACAACGATCGGCAGCGTCGGGTCGTAGTGCGTGAGCAACAGATCTGAACTCAGCATCGACTCTAGCTGGGCGAAGTCCTTTTCACAGTCGGGGGAC